ACATGGACACTACTGCATGTATAATCGCCGCCACATTGCGGAGAGGGCCGCTAAGCACATGGTTACGTTTGCATTATTTTGTCCTCCAAGTGGAACGGACTATACCAAGTAATGCTAGTTTGCAAGCGTTTTATCAAGGCGTTGTTTGCAAAGCGTTAATGTAGGGGTATGGATAACGTGATTCTGAAGGGCATTCCAGGCACGGGACACACGAAGGGAGAAAACGCGTCGACAATCAAGTCGACTGTAGTGCGCAGCCAGTTTGAGCTGATGGTCTCATAGGTTGATATTTTGGCTCGGCTGCAACAGGTTGCGACATGGGTGAGTTGGGTTGGTCAGTATTAAGTAAACCATGATGAGGTCTCCTCGCTGATGCCGATATTCACCACTGTACAATCTCAGGGACTGCAATCTGCGCTGATAGGAGAGATGAAATAATCCTCTAACGAGTTTGGTCGCTCTACGATGTGGAGCTACAAATGCATCGACGTCGTGCTTGCGCCGTGGATGCCAAGAGTGGATCGCATATTCCACATGAGGCCTTACGTAAGTCTTCGGCATTTGCGAAAAGATTGATGGTTCAAAATAGCCGATAGCCCCTAGTAAGAGTCCAAGACGTTGACTTGCTCCTTGTGATGCTTTTTCAGCCTGTCTCGAGCACCCAAAATCATCCAGCGCGATCACCCCAAGGTAGTTTCCTTGGGAAGCACGCTGTAACCCCTGGTCCTTGAGTCGATATTCATAGATAAACTGATGGCGTATGCTTTCGACTTTGCACTTGGTCACATTGGACTAGAGCCGGTTGTCGGATGACCACGCATTAGCTCTGTCGAAATCGCTCTGCAATGCCATATGATAATCCGATATCCTGATATTATGTCAAGTTCTGATTTCACCTGCAAATAATAAGAAATTAGACTACAGTACACTGCCAAGATCGTTAATGAATGTGAGGAATAAACTTGCCCCCAGCACCAATCCTTGAGGCGCTCCAAACTGGATGTCAATTGGGTCGGAAATAGAGCTGCGGACTCTCACATTCAGCTGACGTTGAGCGAGGAAGTTGCCGATCCAACTGAGTATAGGATCACCGATGCCATAGCTTCGAAGCTTGTAAAGGAGAATGCGGTGGTCCAAACGATCGGCCGCTTCCGAGAAGTACAGGTAGACAACGTCGACTTCCAATCTGGCATTGGCTGACTCTGTCCAGCTTGCTCAGGCTAGCAGCAAGTTTGTAATGCATGGCTGATTTCGGCGGATTCCGTGTTACTGTGACACGAGGATGTTGTTGCTCTCAAGATATCCCATGAGCGCCTCTGCAATTATACGTTTCATTAGTGTGGACAAAACTGGGAGGAAAGTGAATGGACGGTAGTTCAAGGGCTCCACATGATTACCACTTTTGTAAATAGGAGTGACTAGTCCAGATTTCCACATTGTCGGAATCTGCATCTCGTTGAGACAACCTTGAAAGAACCGAGCTAATGGTTCTGCAACTTCCATGGCCGCTGTCTTCAAAACCTTCGGTTTGATATCGTCCACGCCAGGTGAGCTGTGCACGCGCAATGAGATTAGCGTTTTCATCACATTGGCTGCTGTGAACCATACGTGGTTTAACCCTGGTGGCGGTGGAAGCTGTGTAGAAAGCGGATGAAATGGTGATTCACCCCGGAAAATATGGATGAAGTGTTGGCAAAGCACGTTGGTTGCATCTTATGCGGCTTGCGCATGACCATCTGTTGCACGTGAAACCGGAACCCCGCGCTGCACTCTGCGGAGCTTGTTGAGATGTCTAGACATCTATGTGGGATTTGTCCTGAATTTCGCCGCTAAGTTCTGTTGGTGCTGGAGTTTGTCATCGCGTATCAACTTGAGGCAGTGGTTTCGTTGAGTTGTGTAAGCACCCCAGGTAAGGTTACTTAGACAGGCATTGTAAGCGCGCCAGCGTAAATCTCTTAAGCCCATACGTTTTCTAGAACTGCTCCTCAGGAACGAATTCACTTGCTTCGGGCGAAGGACCTAGCTTTCCGACGCATTTGCCACTAGCTCGCTGAATTGGGTGTCGAACAACATTCAGGCGACATCTGGAGGCTTCTCGGCCAGGATGGATATGTCGGTTTCTTGTACGAAGTTGGACGGCATATCGTAATGTGTAACGACATAGGTTTCCACGTTGTTCTTACTGATCTACTCCGAGTAACAGAGGTAAGGAAAGAGCAAGATCGTCTGATGGTTACGGCCACGTGGTGCATCTATGGTCACGGTGTCGACCATTAGCTCCTCGTTGAAACACAAGGTCAAAAGCAGAGATTACGTCACTTGTCCGGAATCATGTGAGAGAGGTGAAATGGAGGTACTGAGGTACATCGGCGAGCACCACTTGCAAATCAGCCTTGAACTGTGCGCTCTGCTATGCTGGAATTTTGATTGCTTACAGACTGAAGTCCCACAGAAGAACGTGGCTGTATGGTCGTGCCACCGCTCGTTTCATCACGGAAGCTAGGCAGTGATCCATTTCCAAGCCGGATATTGGATGGCGGTAAACTATTGCTAGAAAACATATCACGACGACTTAAGTGCATACGACACCAAAGAGAATCGACGACTTTTGTTTCTGCGTCCTCAATGACATCAACGTGCAGGTCGGTTCGATAATACAAGAGCACTCCGCCTCCTCTGCTAGGTCGACCATTTCGTATGGAAGTCGTGGCGGGTAGTGTAATCTCAGCATCAGTGACCTCCGTGTTCAGCCATGATTCGGTGACCATAACTGGGTCCAAAGGCGTGGAGACCTGAGGAATACGAATTTTGGTTAACTTGCTGAGCGGACCTTGTTCCTTGGTATACAATCAGGTGAGGGCATCGGTGATCAGAAGTGTGTTTGTGTATGCTGATTTCCGATGAGCGTCTATACCGAGCTTTGCGGGGTCGGCTGCCAGTCGATTTTTGTGAGACTGATGACGCAGGCCCCAAGTTCAATTCAGGTTGTTGTATAGAGCGCTCAGCGCCAACAATGGGGTGACCATCCTGTCCTCCATCAGCTGCCGGTATGTTTCGGCATTGTCTCCATTCTGAGCTACACGATGACTGAATTGTGTCCGTAGGTTGCTAGCTAGTGTTACATTGTCTATCTGTGTCCCGGTGCCTATTGTCTTTATACGGGTTTCAGATGGCAGCATTTTACGCTTTTTGTGCCACATTTTATCACATGTTCTGTCATTAGTTCGGCGTGCAATGATACTTTCATCACTCGGGGACCATACCCTTTGTAATTATGTAATAGCGGTAACCTCAATGTCGAATTAGCGATAACATTTTCGAGTGAGAGTACTTCATTAAAAAACGCCATTCATCCCAATCATTCGCTTTGACCTTTAGCTCGCTTAGTGACTGGATTTCGGGTACACCATGAACAAACATAGATTTTGCGTCTTGTTGTTTACGGAAGTCATCCGGACTTTGTTTAGCTTTGTGGTGTTCGCTCCAAGGAACTTCTGGAAATCATCGAACAGTGCATGTGGTGGTACGGAGTTGAGTGGCTCACAAGAGAACTGCCTCTGTATCATTAACCTGACTGAAGTATTACCTGGAATAACCGCGTTTCACCGTGGTGTACGGAGTTTGGGTGACGTAAGAGGCGCATCATACTGACTGGTTTAGCTTGAACCTCTATTAGTTGACACAATGAGTCCCACTGCTTTTTTTCGTCTAGTATCTTATATTTTATGGATTTCGTCCCAGATTCAGTCACATCAGAGCATATAACAGTTAGGGAATTATGGTAGCGTTTCATGTTCTCCTTTTTGGAGGGACCAATGGCTGCTTTCTTCGGTTGGACAAATGATGGGTCTTGAGTCCGGCGGTGGTATTGGCAGTAGTAATTCGTTTGGCAGTGGGCGGGGTTGTAATGGGAGGTGCCTCCGTCAAATGGGTAGCAACAACGGACGCGTAGGTTGTCGGCCCTTTAACAGCGCTTAGTGTGGCGGGTGCTTCAGTTGAGGAAGGTGTGGCGAATGCATCTTTATGAGCATAAGCTAGTGTCGGGATTGCTAACTCTCGATCCTTACTCTTACACTGCGCTGAATTGGAGCTTGATGTTGAGCATCGACTTCGAGGCACTGATTTCTCTGTTTCATGAAGGACAACTTTCACGACTGCTGCCTGCACTGCAATCTTTGTCAGCCTATCGCTCTTCTGCGCCGACACAGTTATACATCTGACGAGAGGAAGAGAAGTACACTCAGTGCAGAACCAGAGAGAATCAGTCGTACTATTAAACCTTTTTATGTGGCTGAAACGGAGGTGAGCACATTGAGAATGGAAGTACGTTCTACAGTTTCTACATTTTTTTCCAAATAACACAAGCTTTACACAGCTGTCTACGCCACAACCAAGGTTTATTTCAAAAGCTTTGAGCTTAGCTTTCCCTGGGCAAACAGTACGTTCCACTGTGACTGTCAGATCTGCGGAAGCCGTTCGTTGCAACGTCTGCACTGGTATGCTGAATCCAAGCTGGTGGTCTGGCAGACACATGTTCGATTGCTGTAGAACAAATCCAAGATGGCGGACACAGACAGCAATTGGGTCAGTCAGCGAGATTTCCGACAGTAACCGGAAAATATCCATTAAATTCGTACAGATAGCAAAATACACCAAAAACAAAGTATTGGTGCAAAATGTACACAGAGAAAACAAGTATAACACAGTATTTCCAAAGCAACAGTAGAATCCAGCGTAGTAAAACAAAAATCCGCGGTGTCCGTGGGTCAGCCCAAAGTGCAATGACCTTGAAGCCTATATTGATTTTGGGTTTGATGAGAACAACTCGAGTCTTCTCATTATGTTGAAAACCGAGAGTTATGCACCACCGATGCGATAGGGGTTACTTTGTCATGGTTGCACACTACTTATAGAACTCGGTGCCCGTTTCTTGAGGCATGCTTCTCGCATAACAATATTCCTCTGTAATTTAATGCTGCGTGCCTGTTTTTTGCCTACAGAGAGCAAATAAGCGTCGAAGGCTTTGACGGACATCTCTACAGAGGACGAAGAACGGCGAGGTCGACTGATCGCGGTGGCAGTGTAGATACCATTGGGAACCAAGAGGTGTTCGGAGACGAGCCCAAACTTCCTCGTTTGACAAAGACACAACTGACTGGAAGCCCGGTTGGATCTAGTCAACAGGTATGTGAATTTATAACATCGTGCTCCGAACAGCGGACGGATAAGTTAAGCAGAGTAACAATATTGAATAGATAGTTTGAATGGGAAATATGGCTGGCAGTTGAAAATGAATTCATCATCAAAACCCATACAAGATTAGCAATAATATGTATTTATCTCTAAAACTCTAGACGCGGTATGTTGAACCTGGTCTGATCATTTTTACATGGTCCATTCATACATTTTATTGCGAATGTGCATTCATTAATTGCGAAGAATTTTAGTTCAGTTCGCTCCCAGATATTAAGTGGATATTTCCTCCGAAAGTGCAGCCTTTAAGGATGACAATCATCCCTTCGTAACGTCGGACTAAATTCGGTCTCTAAAGACACAAAGAGTGGATTGCAATCCATTCATTTCTTGAGGAATTACAAAGACGATGCGTGAATTTAAAAATAGAAAGGATGCAACGGATGCTTTACCTAAAAATTGCTGACGGAATTGGTATAATTTGTCGAAAACATTAGCACACTACCATAGGCTGAACAACAACTGGCTAGAGTCAAGCTGCTTGTCTGCGTAAGCCACGACCCTATTCGATCGGCTGACACTTATTGGCCACAGGTCACCGAGTCGAGGTCAATTCGGCGTTCACAATCTTATTATAGCACACCAATTCTCGCCTCCTCCGTTTCGCAGAGGCGATTGCAATTAACAGGATTAAGCTGCTGCTTTGTGTTCAGAAACAATTCTCGGTCAGCATTAGACTGCCCTGGGCATAGGGGTGATAACCCTGTCTCACTTATCCTGTGTTAGTCGGTTTGTTTGTTTGCATGTATGTTTGGTCGCACCCTTTACTGAATAAATATTATTGCGAGTTATTGTTAAAGGCACTGATGAGACAATACGAAATGAGTGCATTTGCCAGTCTTCGTCTTCTTACTGCGCTTTTCAAATTACTCAAGGGAACTAACTGTTTCAAACGGGAAAGATGTCAACACCTACGTTGTAGGTCTGTGCTTGGAGCGGTTTTGTGGCCAATCGGCACGATGTAGGAAGTTTGGTTGAAGCGGAACGATGGTATAACACGGTACAAAATGTCGAGTCTTGACGGGTGCCGTGGGATGATTTGTGTGAATTGCGTATGTTCAGTATACGATGTTGCACTAGTGTGAAACGCACGTCTGTGAACTCGGCATGGTATCCACTTTAATGCACATTTATAGCCGTTTACTCCGATTTGGTGTGCGCTGGTGAGCCCAATTTTTGTCCGCTTCTTGTCGTTACTCAATGAACAGAAGTTAAATAATTTAATGTAGGTGACTCAGTTCACAGTGGAGACCATTTTTAACGAAAAGTAGCATGGAAACAGAAATGACAGAGGTCGTATGAGCGTTCCACTGTTTCCAAATTCTAAGGTAAAAAATGATTCCGTCGGCATACCAGCCGACTGCATTGTATAGCCAGTTTCAGCTGGTGATCGCGCAATTTAACGTTGCGGCTACGTTTCAGGATGTGGCGGCAGGCGTGACCGAGATTTTTCAGGATCTGGTACGCCAGAATGAGGGTGCCCCATCATTTGTGTGCCCAGGTTATCGATCTGATTAAAAAGACTCGGCGATACATTGGTTGGGTTCCGTCAAATGCGCGACTGAAAGCAGCTAAGAATACGGTCATGGTCGTACGGTGTGTAAGACCTGCTGCTAAGTTTAAAGTTAGATTCTAACTATCCTCCATTAAAATATTGGATTGCTAAGTAGCTTTTGTTAACGCAGGTGCGCATATAGCTAAAGTTAAGGTTAGGGATATCTTTACACTGAATCACTAACGAAATCATCCTTGCAAGGATTATGCCAACAGCAAAAAGATCCTTATGCAAAGTATAGATTAACTATAAGCCAGTCTAACACAACATACTGTGTCTTTGTATGCGTGGGATGATAAAATAAATAAGCCACATATTTGCGGCTGGCACCGGTAGACTGGAATCACTATACCGAACTTTTAAGTTCCCGCCACCCGCGCACTTGGCGGAGCCCATTAGTTGCATTAGTTGCTTTGAATTCCGCTCATCGAGTGACGACAGAAGGCCAAAATTGTGCTCACCAACCCACCGTAGTGACGCAAAGCTTATCGATCGACAAACGCTTGGCCACTAATCAATCTTATAGGAAATTGTGCATGAAACATTTATTGTTACAGTCGAACCCGTCTATGGCGACCACTCAATGGACCGACCAAATGTGGTCGCCTTGGACAGGTGGTCGTCATAGACAGGTCCATGCCTAGGGACATTACGCATAGAAGAACACCTTGGGGATGTTTTCGGCTTGTCGCCATGTACAGGTTGTCGTCATGGCAGGTTGGACTGTTGCAAATATGTGACTGAAGATAAAACACAACATGACATCTTCGTCACAAAAGCTGCTTTTGTTATTTTATTTGAAAATAACCTCAGTTGCTGAATCAAGTTTTTACAGGTGAACAAATAAAACTGTTTTCTTCGGCCCCATAGTGATCCGCCTTAGAATCGAGTTACACGATTTCCGGTCGCTTTTAACATTATGTTGTGAGAAATAGACTAATGTCAAAAGAATTTGGATTTATTTTTGTTCACGCATTGGAAACCAATCACTCCGTGGCAACTATATTGCGATCGACATTGGAAAATTGTTTGACGGAGAGGATGATGGTTAACCAGGCATCGCAAAGTTAACCTTTTTCTTCATCTGCGCCATCGGAAAACTAATTGATATTTTGCACACCCCTTTGAGTGGCGCGGCAGTTTCACCTCGAAATCTTGTCGGCGCGATTAAATCACTGCACGGAATTTTCGGGCATTCGAGGTGAGGCAAGCTAGCCTACTAGAGGATAGCGTGAATAGCAACCGGTTGGTGGGCCGGAAAATCTGTACTACGAAACTGCCGTTGACCTGCTACTTTTCTCGTGCTAAGGCTATTCAGGAAACGTGTGTACAAATTTATCAACTAACCGCTTCCACCGATTAAACTAGTGTAGTTGTCAATTAATTCAAACGAGCACAGCGGCACATTAACTCGTGTTTCTACCACATGTGTACCCAACCAATCTTGCACCTTGGCCGCATGGGAAAACGCCATTTCAATCTAATCATAGACCACAATATAGAAGTTATGTAAATGGTTGTTTGTGTAGATTCGTCGCAGTTAGACACAGGCAGACAGCCACCACACATCCAGGAAAGCGCTAGACGGCTCTTTCGTCCCATTGGGACTGGTCAGTAGCGCGCACTCGCCGAATCCTGCCGGATTCGAATCCACGACCTTTCTCTTGCGAGTCAGCGACTGTCACTGGGCCATGGGCGAAGACAGCGGACCGCCAGGACTGATATGTAAATAGTATACTGATGCCATCAAAATACTACAGGACGATTGATGGTGCGTTGTACATCAGAACTAATCTATCACATTCCTTGTCCAAACTGGTTCACTAATTAAGCATCATGCTCTCTATAACGGGTCTCACAAAATACGTTTAAGGAGCCGCAGAACGCTGCTACACAAGCAATAACCCCATTTAGTATACGGAACAAGGAAACAAAGATGGTAGCAGTGGTCTTCCACAAGCAGGTTGTCTGCACATTATGAAAATCTTTAGCCACCTCGATAGCGAGTACGGTACTCTATCCGTGTTTGTGATGGACATCATCATCAACGTTATACCTTGTCTAAAGATGAAAGTATTTCATCTATTTTGTTTCAGTACAAAAGATAAGATATCTGGAAGTAGGCGTGAACTTAACTTACAAAGGAATACAAAATAAAAGCCAAACAAGTTATATAATATTACGCATTTGATAGAAATCCCAGAGGTGGAAGCTAAGGAGGAGGGGACAAAAGAAGAAACTCAGAACACAAACGACCCTGAGGTCAGCTCCTTGGCATGTCAGCAAGTGTATCCAGTGAGACGTGTTCATCGTTCTTTAGACACCAGATCGAAAGTCCAGAGACACCAACCGACTCCAACTTTGAAGTGAGAGATCGCATTTCTTTTAACCAAGTCATCGTTTGGCCTCATCTGCTCTTCTTCCATTTCTACACCTGGTGTGCAAACAACGCACGACGCGGGAGTCGGTGTGCTGGCATATGCAACACGTGGCCCAGCCATAGGAACCAGCTGGGTTATATAACGATGCTGAACGGTCCATTCGGTCTTCCTGCACTAACTACGCCACACCAAACAAATTCATTGCTCATGCGGTGCTCCCACCAGACATGAGCTAAGCTGAAAAGGCAGCGATAATTGAACGTGACAAGCCGCTTTGTCTGTTAACCTGATAAGCTAGGTTTCGCAACTGTACAGGTGTATTGAATGGACGGCTGCTTTGTACACTTTGCCCTTCAGGGCGAGAGTGATGTCGCTCCGGCGCCCAACGTGGAGGGGATGGGCAAAAGCACCTCGAGGTTTGTAAGGCGTTTCGTGACTACATCTTTTATGCCACGGGCACTAATATAGCTCTATAGGTCATTCAAATTCTTGTTGACGTCTAGCTGATCGTCATTAGGGGTCAGTGCAGGCGGGAACACCCGCCAATCTAGGAAAAAGACTACATTTCCATGCTAATAATAATAATAATAATAATAATAATGTGTCAGCCGTATGACGCAACGGCGTTTCGCTGCCATGTGAACGCACCAGTCGCACTCAGACTGAGTATACCGCGAGGTCGCCCAGCCCTACGCGGATTCGAACCCGCGCCACAAGATTCGGAGACAAGCTCGTTACCACTAGGTTAGGAGCCTACTACCTCTGGACTACAAGCCGACCTTTCCATGGAACACAGCTAGCCCCAAAACGATCGTTGCTGAGTGTTTCTTCGTCCACGCCCGCTTGACGAGTTTGGATATTACAGCATTTTAAAACTCTGCACCTTATAAGGGAAGTATTTCTAAACAACTCTCACCCGGAGCAATTAGAACTAGTCCACTTTGTTTTATGTCAGGTTTCTTACTGGCATCAATTTTCTCTTCGTTGTCCCTCCCAAAACTGAAGGCGTAGAAGCCTCATGCTGCGGTACTGGGTTATACAGCACGAAAGGAACTTTGTACAGCAGGCATATAAAATGAAAAATGCGGATTAGAACCAACAGCCTTGCCGCTGTCTCACTACAAACGGTACCACAGAGTATCTATACGTAATATAACTCACGCGAGATAACCAGGTGCTCTTATTTCAAGTCTCCCTTTTACAAAACATAGACTTTCGTGCATCAATGGCATATTCCTAGCCTTCCATGTACCAAAAAGTGTGATATGTTATTTAATTCATCGCAATTAAACTGCAAATCAACAGGACAATTACCACTCTGAAAGAGCCCCAGACAGCCGTTTTTCCTCATCGGTGGTTGTCAGTGGCGCTTGTTCCCTTGGTTCGCTTTTGGGGATCGAAACACTGGCCGCAGTGGTTTACATTGCCAACCAATAGCTTATGCCACTGAACCCCAAGGTGTGATAGCGGACTATCATGGATTGAAAGTTAACTGCGAAATACCACCACCCTATTGTTGCTGCTATAGGCTTGAGTATCCCGAGTAAACTATGGGTATGGTTTTTAAGTGTGTCGTACGCATACCCGTCACACGAATGTACACATTAATATGCAAGGGCATTCGGTCTCTGCCAATAGCAGAGAATGGCAACTTCCGGGTAACATAATAAGTCTACTTAGTAGGATGCCAGAGCAGTGCTCTTATTAGCATTGAGGTGAGTAACCTCGATTAATTCGTGATCGCTTAAGCAGCTTACAAAAACAGCAGTATTCACAAGTGAATCACGTGCAACACGTTAGCGAGTTGCTTGTCACTTGGAATTTACCGCGTAGCACTAGGTATGGAATAATCTCTGAATAATCTGAAAAATTTCGCACCGACATAAATGAAATTTGTGAATGCCTGGCGGTCACATCATGCTGCACTCCAGAATCACTGATGTAAGGCAAACTCTCGTGTTGAACAGAACTGCGTCTCCCCTTTTCAAATGTTCCACTAATGTTAGCTCTATGATATGCGCAGTTATAATGAAAACGATTATGACACTTGAAGAAGAAAAGGCTGCTGCCTGAAGTGCACCCCCACAAGGAGTTCCATAAACATCCCATAAGGCATCATGAATATGTAGGCTCCAACATTGCCTCATGTAGGTTTCCCAAATGGCTAAACGCTGTAGCAATAGTAGGCAGTAGTATTAGCAGTGGTGGTAGAAGTATTAGCATTAGTAGCGGTAATAGTAGTAGTAGTCGTAATAAAAGTAGTGGTAGCAATAGTAGTAACACTAGTAGTAGCACTAGTAGCAGTAGTAGTAGGTAGTAGTAGTAGTGGTAATTGCAGTAGTACTGGTAGTTATAGTAGTAGTAGTTGTTGTAGCTAGCAGTAGTAGTAATAGTAGTAGTAATAGTATCAGTAGAAGTATCAGTGGTATGTATAGTAGTACTAGTAGGAGGAGAGCAAGTAGAAAAAGTGCTATCAGTAGTAAAATAGTAACAGCAGTAGCAGCATTAATGGTAGTAGTGGTAGAAGCAGTAGTACTTGAAGTAGTAATAGTAGTAATAATGGTAGTAATAGTAGCGGGATTAGTAGTAGCCGTATTAGTTGTCTTACTCGTAGTAGTGGTTGTTGCTTGTGCTGCGGCTCAAAGTAGTTTCCACCGCTAGCTAACATTTGTAATGAAGGAATGATCAGAAGTAGTTGGAGTAGTAGGCTGTATTATTTTTAGTCGTAAGCAAAGTAGTAGTAATACTACTACTAGTAGTAGTAGTAGCATGTGTTGGTGTTGTTTTGTTGTGGTTGTTGTTGTTGTTGTTGTTGCTCTTGTTAATAATGATCTCCCTTGCATTTGGACGCGGAAGCGTAGTAACATGATGAACTTGATTCCTCAAGCCAGCCAGCATATTAGTCCGGTCGATAGAGGAAAACTAATTCATAACTTTACCAGCCAGCGGTATAGGACTCCTAGGTGGAGCGATCATCTATGCAGAGAACTCGTGTCATGGATATAGATACGATATTTAAGATCGTGAAATTTTTCACAGACCTGCGATCCAATCGCTCACAATCTGTTTGTGTCATTGTTCTCAAATTTACTTCGTAGTGAAACCCAGGTGAAGTCATTGGCAAAGTGTGGAAGAGTTGTGGGCGTAGGTAAAAGTTCCTTTGTATAGTTAATGAGCAAAGAATAATTGATCGTGTTTACATGAACCAGTTTCTCAACTAAAGAGACATATACCCATTATTCTTATTATAATATTCCATTAATGCTTCTGGAGATTGCTGCGTACTAAGCATGTTTAGTACTTTCAAAATGGCGAGAAAGTTCTCTAGGGTTGTTTAAAATGTGGCCAGGTTTTTACTTGCTGGTACTCTGTTAACTTGTCCTACAGACTTAACTTTCTCCTAAGCAGAGGGGTCGTCCGGATCCAATGACTTGTGTGCTTGACTGGGCTACAGAACTGTTTTCCGCAACTCAGCAGTTGTATTGTCTGCTTAGTTATAATGTTAAAGTCAAGACAGAGACTATTCTGCAATCGTTTCAGTCGTAGTGAATGCAGTCCGAGATGATGACAACGATCATAGTAACGTAAGCTTGAGCAGTGCAACAAGGCCCATTTAGCAAATGCTCGCTGGTCATTTTGTAGCATCCTTCAGTCAAATATTTCTAATTGGCTGCCACTAATAATACAGTACATTAACGTATGTCTTACAATAACCTTGAATAGTTCAGTCGATATTTCAGGCAAGGAGATAGTTCTAGTGATTTGGCCGGATAGTCAACCGGCTGTCACCCATGGCGAAGTGGCACTAGCTGCTGGCATCCTGAAGTCATGGGGGCGGAACCCGACAGCGATCCGCTGGGAGGCGCGCACCAATGACGAGAACCAGAATGTCGAAACGCCGGCGTCTGGTGCTTTTCCAGATTAGCTTAAACCTGCTGATTAGAAGTGACGATGATGAATTAGCTGAATAAGTTGGCTTTCGCTACTTGGTTGATGACATATTCAGATCGAGGTACAAAAGTGCGGTGGACCTAGTTGCCACATGACTCTCCTCGTTTGGATATATATATATATATATATATATATATATATATATATATATATATATTTATATTTATATATATATATATATGGTTGGCGGCATCCGGTTTCCGATTTGCCTGTCACTATGGCCAGCCACAGGACGCCTGCGTCTACAGAGGGACCAGGGATGGCTTGCGCTGCACCACCCACAACTCCAAACACACACCCCATATCCAGTGTAAACCCGAGGGAATAAGACCGGGAGGCATGTGGATGGGAGGTACGTTTCATCAACGGAGCCGGCCCACACTCCATCACAGGCAAACACAAGCACGCTGTATTTGGGGAATCAAGCACACACAAGGCGGTGGATGGACCATAGTCCGCTCCACACTGAGTGCATGGGACCATTCTTCGAGCCTAGCATGGCCACAAGGACCGTGCGTCCTATCTCCTCCAGCAACGCCAAACTGTCTCCTGGATCCAGACGGACGAGGTAGTGGGTAAAAGACAGGTAAGCACCTTGTCAACATGCACATCAAGCGCAGCCACACCTGGAATGTCAAACAACAGCCAATCATTCGAAATGCCGATATTGAATAAATTAAAGGCATATGACGACATAAATTCTCGCTAAATGAGCATATATATATGTATATATATATATATATGTAATCAACAATCCAGGAACTGGAAATGAAGCCATCGGGTAAAAGTAAGTAAAAATGCTGAAGAAACTTGGGCCATCCCGGGTCGCTCATCCACGAAGGCGGGATGCACCAGCTTGATGAATTCTCTCGGTACGTTTTCTCATGTCCTTATGCCGGATCATCAATCGGGCCCCTCGTGGTTTTACCCAAATTGCTGTAACAACCGTGTGTAATTCACACCGAGGAAGCCGATCAGCGAGTATTTGGAGGACATGACATAGTCAACCTAAGTGATTATGCTACAGCAGACGCTGGCGTGAGGCACCAGAAAGTTTCTTGCATCAACCAATTGGTGGGTTTCAGCATTGCTCGCCCGCTATTCCCTGCAGATATGGGCACTACTTGCAAGCACCGGTGATCCAACACGGCTAATCATTTGATGTCTTCAATATAAAGTGACAAGTTCTCTGGTTCCCGTATAAGAATCGGCCTTACTGTATCGTCCATACACACTACCTTTGAAAAAAATGGGTCATATACAGTCCGGCCTGCCATGGCGACCATCTGTCAATAACGACCAGTCAAAAACATCTCCATAGCCTGCTTCTTGGACTAATGTCCCTGTGCATGAACCTGTCTATGGTTACCACCTGTCCAAGGCGACCCCATTTTGTTGGTCCCTTGTGTGGTCGCCTTAGACAGGTTTGACTGTGTTAGTCTATCCATGCACGACCAACTGATGTTTCCACAAATCTCAGCGGATGCGTAAAGCTGGGTTGATTCCAAAATAAGACACAACAGGGAAACCCTGTTAAACCCCAAACTACTTCACTGGCGAAGCATCGAACTCCGCAGAGCGCATCATCGTATTCCGACTCCACTGCTAAAATGCAAATATGCGTATGCTACTTGAGAGGCGATCAGTAGTCTCCAATAAAATTCCGTCTTATTTTTCCATGATCTACTACCGCAATGAATGGGCTAAATTCACCTTGTCCGCAATTAGGTCACTTAGTGAAGAGAACTCTCGCTGTTGCTGATGGAGTAGAACTTGATTTCATCTAACTGAACTTTTCCAAAGCGTTTGATCAATTAGAACATCGAATTCTCCTTCAGAAGCTTTGGAAACTTCGGCTTTGGTGACTCATTCCTGAGATAAATTAGCAATTTTCTACACGAACGATAGCTACTGGCGAGAGTCCGAGAATCATTGTCTGATGCAATCAACGTGGTGTGTGGAGTACCACAAAGCTCATTTCCTGGATCTAGTCTATCCTTGTTGTTCGTTAACGATTTGGCGAGATAAATTGCTTCCGAGATCCTATTTTTTGCTGATGA